TTTTTTTTGGATGCACATTAAAACTGGATATCCTTAAACTCTTACTTTGGAAACATTTTGTCTTCCTCTCAAAGGACATTTTGGGAAGATGTCATTTGTAGGCCTTTATTGAACAAGCTAGCGTTTCATTGTTTTGTGGAAATAAGTGTCACTTGTAAATTGAATTGCTTATGTTGATGCTTCTTTCTTTTAAACCATTTATCAAGGGATCATGGAAGATGGTTCTGTACATTTTGTTTTGTACAATCCTGTGTATATGTAGTATGGCTGATATTTCAGGGCTGTTTGTGTGCAAGAAGAAGAACTGCTAAAGTTTGAGTTCTCACTGTTACGCTGAGTCCAGTGAAAAGAAAGAGTGATGTTTCTGTGAAACTTCTTGTAAACCGTTATAAATAAAGAGATGATTTTAATGACAATTCATGGGAGCTACAAAGTTTGTGTGTGTGTGTACAGGTTAGGGAAGGGATGGACAACCTTACTGGTTGAATCTCAGAATGTACACATAAATTTCACTACATTCACTTGTTTCCACACACATTCAGGATAATGTTTTGATTTGTCACGTGTATGTTGCTGTGTTTAGTCATTCAGATCAGATGAAGTGTAGGTTTCTTCACTTTTTATTTAAATTACTCTTCGGGTTGACTACATTACATTAACACATTTGTAAGGTTTTGCATCAGATAGGAATGTAACACCAGTTTCTTTCAGAGTTGCAAAATGTGGCTTGAAGAAGCCATTTACATGAACATGAACTATGCTAAAAACGTGCAGGGTAAAATGACACTGATTACAAATCAGAGAATGCCAAAATGGTTACATGGCCTGTCAATAGTTCATGTATTTCACACTGACCCAAGATTCTGGGAGATTCAGGCTTTTTTTTTTTTTGATGGTTCTAAATGCGAAAATTATTGTTGATACTCCAACAAAAAAATGAATTTGCTGTTGAAATGTACTTTTTTCCCTTATAGCCCAACAGATGAAAGGTACAACAGGAAAGACAGTTACAAATAAACTAGTGCTGTCAAACGATTAATCGCATCCAAAATAAAAGGTTTTGTTTACATATGTGTGTGTACTGTATATATATATATATATATATAGACACATACAGTATATATTTTGAAAATATTTACATGTATCTACATGTATATATTTATATTCATATAATTTATATTATATATAAATATTTTAATATATAAACAACATTTTTCTGAAATATATGCATGCATGTGTGTGTATTTATATATACATAATAAATATACACAGTACACACACATATGTAAACAAAAACTTTTATTCTGGATGCGATTAATCGTGATTAATCGTTTGATAGCACTAAAATAAACAAAGCAGGCACTGCCCACTTACTCACAAAAGCACTAATAAAATTATGAAAAATTGAGAAAATTAAAAGGGGCATGGCACATTTCAATAACACAAAGCTTCAGTGGGTTCATTTCAGGAACATTTGAAATAATGGATCTTTAAATAAAATGATATTGTTCTGAACATAGAGCTTTCATACTCTGCTTAAACTCTCTCATTCAATAACCAAAAGGCATTGTAGTTTTACACTAGCTCAATCTGAAACCGTAAAACGTAAGAAAACTAAACAGGAGGAAAGTTGCTATCAAAGCAAACATCCAGATGCTAAGAACGACAAGCGAAACAAATAAAAACAACAGCCTGTCCTTTTTCCGATTCACTGGGCCTCTGACTATATAATACCGCTGACTTCATTAAGTATTTTAAATTTGGAGAATATACTGTGCAACTATCTTTGATATGGCTTGACTACAGATTGAAGGAAGAACTGATGAATCCCATAAAAAAGTTTTGGTGCCTATTTTTTAAATTTTCTTGGTAGTACATTTAAACCTTTTCCCCAAATTGTCAATAACCAAAAATCAATATGACCCAAACATTTCTTTGTGAGATTCACCTTAAAATACAAATATTAACACAATGAGCATAATTCAAATAACACTTCTCCTGGAGTAAAAAGAAATCATGATGCTCTGATCACAACAGATTGGCCTAATAAAAAAAGCAGCTTTTACAGTAGTGGGTTTGGAGGCAGTGTGAGCATGAGATTTCCTGTTTTTAAGCCCAGTGTCCAAACATGCAAAAACATCTGTCAATATCAACACTCATCCTATGAAACTGTTTGTACAACACAGTTTCAAGTACAGTTTTGTTAGACGACTTGTATTGCCATACTTTCCAGTTGTAAGATTAACACTGATTAGAATTGATGGACGGAGTGATACGATATCTGACCTTCCTGATAACAGACAGCTATCGAAGCTGTGACGGCTTCAGGTGGTTCATCGGGAATCTCAGTTAAAACTCCAGATCTTAAGGAGATGTTAGGATGTGAACGACCTATTGACGATATATGTAAGGGATTTGAGAGAAACAGACGACACAAAGGTGATACACGGCTGATTACATGAAATGAAGAGGAGCAGCCCTTCGGATCACTTGATGTCTGACTGTCCCTTTATGTTCCTTTGATGTCCATTGAGCTCTTTCTTCCAATGTGGGTAGACTCCTATGTCTCTGAATTGATTCTATGAGCTGAATAAAAAGAGAGAGGAAAAGAAAAAAATAGACTTTCCTTATTAAATGAGCTTTGAATTAACGATGACCCATATGGCTATTCTTCTAGCCAAAATTATTTTTTTTAAATACATGCTAAATAAATATTGTAACCAGTGACACTCAATGAAATATATTTTGAAAATACACCAATTTTCAACCTTCATATACAAAAACAAATGTGGAAAAAATAGCCTACTAGCATGTTTTATGTTCACAGTTTTTCTTCAAACGTGCCATATGTGAATGAACTGAAATATAAGGAAGACATATTTTTAAAATGTAAATATTTTCACAAAAAAAAATAAATAAATAAATAAAAAAAAAGCCAGAAAATATATTGGTAGAGAATATATTTATGTAAATATTTTATGAAATATATTGTTGGCCTTTTTGTTTTTTTTGCATATTTCTAAATACATTTAAAAATATTTTATATTATATATTTTTATAAAATATATATATATATTTTTTTTTTGCCATATGACATTCACAGCTTGTTTCCGCAGTACTCACTTTGTTTAGGTATCTTAAGAGGCTCTGTGTCTCCAGACAAGACTTGGTGCATTGCTCCTCTGAATTGGTACAGCAGCTTTAGGCTCTTTTCCTCTCCGACACACGGGTCATAAAACCCTGGCAAGCCAGCCTGATTAACATGAGACAGATCTAATTAATGTAAAGCACTTGGTGGGAGTTGAAGCAGCTCACTGATGTAAAGCACCAGTTGATGTTTACATGTCTAACCTTTGATGCTTCGGTAAGAATGAGTTTAGAATCTTTCACTAAGCACTGGAGTGGGACGGTCACGTCAATGACCTTTGCTCTCTCACGTTTCTGACTATTGTCTGACACAAATTTGCCGTACCAAGCATTTAGAATGATGAGACCTAGAATAAAAAATATGAATTGCAACACATAAAACATTGCTCATTTAAAACGAATGTTTCATTTTAAGCTGTAGGGACAGCAAAGTGTAAAAGTAACATACAGTTGTGCTCATAAATTTACATGCCCCTTGCAGAATATGCAAAATGTTAATAATTTTAACAAAATAAGAGGGATCATGAAAATTGCATGTTATTGTTTATTTAATACTGTCCTGAATAAGCTATTTCAAATAACAGATGTTTATATATTCTCCACAAGACAAAATAATAACTGAATTTATAAAAAGTGACCCCGTTCAAAAGTTGAATCTTAATACTGTGTGTCGTTTCCTGGATGATTCACGACTGTCTTTCTGTTTTGTGAGAGTTGTTAATGAGTCCCTTGTTGGTCCTGAGCAGTTCAACTGCTCACACAATGCATTAAGAGCTGGGGGGTGTAAACTTTTTGAATTGGATGATCAGGGTAAATTGTACTTATTTTGTCTTCTGGGAAACATTTAAGTATTTATGTAGCTTCTTAACTGCAGTACCAAATTAAAAAATATATGATCTTTAAACAAAATAAGAAAAATGTACACATCATCCTGTTCAAAAGTTTACACCCCCAGTCTCTTAATGCATCGTGTTGCCTTCTTGAGCATCAGTAAATGTTTTCACCTTATAGAATAGTTATGTATGAGTCCCCCAATTGTCCTCCATGTGAAAAGATGGATCTCAAAATCATACAGTCACTGTTGGAAAGGTTTCAAATATGCAGAAAATGTTGGAAAACCAAAAAATGTGCAGGAGCTGGAGGATTTTTCTGAAGAACAGCAGGCAGTTGAACTGCTCAGGAGCAACAAGGGACTCATGAACAACTCTCACAACACAGAAAGACAGTCGTGAATCATCCAGGAAACGACACACAGTATTAAGATTCAACTTTTGAACGGGGTCACTTTTTATAAATTCAGTTATTATTTTGTCTTGTGGAGAATATATAAAGATCTGTTATGTGAAATAGCTTATTCAGGACAGTATTAAGCAAACAATAACATGCAATTTTTATGATCCCTCTTATTTTGTTAAATTATTAACATTTTGCATATTCTGCAAGGGGCATGTAAATTTATGAGCACAACTGTATATATTTAAGGCTGCATGGATATACTGGCTATTCTTATATTCTTAAATATTTTATTATTTTCTTATATACACACTTGCATTACTCTGCAACTTTTGTTTGTTTTTAAAATGAATGGAAATGATTTTGTGGCAATTGCCAGTATATCACACAGATGCTGTCCATAGAGCTTAAGTTGTATCTGAAAGTATTAAAAAACAAACATAAAAGTGCATTTCACAAACCCATTTTAGATTCCTCAGCATCAATAATTCTCTTCACTGACTCTTGCATCAGCAAAACCTGAAAACCAAAGAAACGATAACACAAGAAAACATATCTGCACTGATAAATGGCTGTTTGTGTTGGCAAGAGGGAGATAGTCATTGTTGTCTATGTATTTATTTTACTCACGGAAGCTTCAGCCTCTTGCTTCCTGCGAGCAATTTCTGAAGCAGAATCCTCCTTCTGTTTCTCCAACTCCCTGTAAACAACCAAACAGTCAGGGCCCTTCATCATCAGAGAAACTGAGGTAATGTAAAGACGGGTTTCAGGAAAATGGGCGGTTTCAGAGCAGTAATTGTGGATAATAACTCACTGTTCCTTCTGGGCTCGTACATAAGGCATAATTATAAGCTTCTGGACAGCTAAGTAGATGGCCAGCGGGCCCACAGTGGCATAAAACACAGCGCTGGGTAAAATCTGGTCGGTCAGG